TGATTACCTGTTTAAGGTCTATCTCCCTTGCCAGTTATATCAGGGCAGTTTTCTCTACTTCATCATTGGCATGTAACACTATGTCTGGCACCAAGAAGATTTTCAATAAAAATGCATTGAATATTTATGCATATGGGAGATCTCATGTGACTAATCAAAGGCCATACTGTGTTACAACCATCCTAATCTGTCTCCAAAATCTGTCTGTGATCTCTATTCTACCCCACCAAGTGCTTTCATGTTATCTCACTTCTAAATGTCCAGGTTCAATGTCCTTGTCCCTCAACTGCTTGTAAGCATACATGCACCCCACCTACCAAGAACTCACTTATTCAGGGAAAGCTAGTGAGAGAGTAGAAAAAAGAAACAGCCCATTTGGGATTGTGCCCTCTTCCTACCCTCTTCAAGTCAGCATTTCTCCTCCTTCAAGAAGCCTTTACAGACAGCTCCACCTGTCCATCTGCTTCCCTTTCCTCTGGCCCTTCCTATACCTGTGCCACAAAAGTGTTTCCAAGTTACCTGGAGTCTGATCGTTCTACACATATTGGTACTTTATTAAAGCAATTTAAGTCTATGGATGTTTAGTGAAGGCAAATGTGTGCTCAGGCCTGCCTCTGTCAGGCCTAGTGGGTCGACACAGAAATGAATCAGACGAAACCTCAAAGGACTTATAGTCAGTGGGGAAGACAGATATTAGGCACAGATGCAATTTACTAGAGCACAAAGCATGATGACCTAAATGGCATTAAAGAAGTAGGAACAACATGCTATATGCATAAACCTTAATTATTATTGTGAAGAGTGTATCATAGAAGATCAGACCTCAAAGGTGTCATCTAGTTCAACCTCTGTTTTCCAGTGGAAGAGTTTGAGACACAGAGAAGTGTGGGGCCTAGCCTAAAATCTCAGACTGTCTGTCTGAGCCAAGACAGACTTCAAGTTGTTTTTTGTTGTTGTTTTTTTTTGTTTTTGTTTTTTTTTTTTTTTTTTTTTTTTGAGACGGAGTCTCGCTCTGTCGCCCAGGCTGGACTGCAGTGGCCCAGCTCACTGCAAGCTCCGCCTCCCAGGTTCACGCCATTCTCCTGCCTCAGCCTCCCGAGTAGCTGGGACTACAGGCGCCCGCCACCTCGCCTGGCTAGTTTTTTGTATTTTTTAGTAGAGACGGGGTTTCACCGTGTTAGCCAGGATGGTCTCGATCTCCTGACTTTGTGATCCGCCCGTCTCGGCCTCCCAAAGTGCTGGGATTACAGGCTTGAGCCACCGCGCCCGGCCTTGTTTTTTTTTTTGTTTTTTTTTTGTTTTGTTTTTTGAGACGGAGTCTCGTTTTGTTGCCAGGCTGAAGTAAAGTGGCATGATTTTGGCTCACTGCAACCTCTGCCTCCTAGTTCAAGTGATTCTCCTGCCTCAGCCTCCCAAGTAGCTGGGGTTACAGCCATGCACCATCACACCCAGCTAATTTTTGTATTTTTAGTGGAGATGGGGTTTCACCGTGTTGGCCAGGATAGTCTCGATCTCCTGACCCCGTGATCTGCCTGCATCAGCCTCCCAAAGTGCTGGGATTACAGGCGTGACGAACCACTGCACCAGGACAGACTTAAAGTTTTCTAAAGCCCAGCCTTGGGCTCTTTCCTCCTCCTCTGATAGCTTCATATGCAAAGTCCTGTACTTCATCAGACCATGAGATCTTTGAGGCTGGGTCAGGTTCTCCTTCCTAAACCAGGACTAGACAAGCCCAAGACACTTACAGGCTCAGGAAATGCAGTCTGATCCCAGGCTGCCAATCCAGTCTTTCAATCTGCTGCACCTAATGTGCTCCCTACTCTTACCATATGTCCTTAAATTGATTTTCAAATATTTTTTGCAGGAAACTTAAAAACAAAATTAAACTCTTTATGCAGAATACCAGCAAATAAATCAGATAAAAGTGAACCTTTTCTGGTTGAAGGGGAGAGAGTCCATAGCTCCATTATTTTTCCTGCTCTTAAGTCCTGGGAAGGGAATTCTAGGAACACATGTCAAAAACATTTGCTCTGGAGCTGGATGTGGTGGTGTGTGCCTGTAGTCCTAGCTACTTGAAAGGCTGAGGTGGGAGGATGACTCGAGTCCAGGAGTTCCAGGACAGCCTAGGCAACATAGTGAGATTCCCATCTAAAAAAAAAAAGAACAATAAACAACAACAACAAAAAACTTTTGTTCTGGGACATAATTTTTAATGGTGTCATAGAGGCTGCTTTAGCGTATGGTCTTCCTCTGAATCCTGTCATATATGGGGCTCACAATCCTTTCTTTATTCATGAAATGCCAAGCACCCCAATGCCAAGTGGTCCCAATGGAGTATGGATGGGAATGAGATTTTCCCATTGTCCCTCCTGCTCTCACGTCCTCCACAGAGAGAAATTTGTCTGAAGGGCTACAGGGACCGGACCAAAGAGGAGGAGAGACCCAAACACTGCCTGGCAGGTCAAGGGAGGCTTCTAGAGAAGGATCTTTGAGAAAGACTTCATCCACATACTCATTCACCACCCTGAATCTGATAAAGCCTCTGTTTTCGAAGGTGATACAGTAGCCACCAGCTACACATGCTATTGACCACTTGAAATGTGTCCAGTCAAATTGAGATATATTGTAAGTATAAAATACACACCACATTTCAAAGACTTGGTACAAGAAAAGAATGTAAAATATCCAGTCAATTTTTATAACCAATAATTTTTTATGTTGATTACCATGCTAAAAGATAATATTTTGAGGCCGGGCGTGGAGGCTCATGCCTGTAATCCCGGCACTTTGGGCGGCCGAGGCGGCCAGACCACGAGGTCAGGAGTTCAAGACTAGCCTGGCCAACATGGTGAAACCCATCTCCACTAAAAATACAAAAATTAGCCGGGCATGGTGGCACGTGCCTGTAATCCCAGTTACTTGGGAGGCTAAGGCAGGAGAATCACTTGAACCCAGGAGGTGGAGGTTGCAGTGAGCCCAGACTATGCCACTGCACTCCAGCCTGGTGACAGAGCAAGACTCCATCTCCAAAAAAAAGATAATATTTTGGCTATGTTGAGCTAAGCCAAATATTGTTAAAATTCATTTCATTTGTTTCTTTTCACTTTTTTTGAAATGTCATTACTAGATAGTTTTAAATTACTTATGTGGTTCCTATTAAATTTCTTTTTTAAAAAATATAAGTAGGCTGGGCATGGTGGCTCACACCTGTAATCCCAGCACTTTGGGAGGCCGAGGCGGGCGGAACAACTGAGATCAGTAGTTCGAGACCAGCCTGGCCAACAAGGTGAAACCCCGTGGCTACTAAAAATACGAAAATTAGCCGGGTGTGGTGGCGTGCACCTGTAACCTCAGCTACTCCAGAGACTGAAGCAGGAGAATTGTATGAAACTGGGAAGCGGAGGTTACAGTGAGCCAAAATGGCACCACTGCACTCCAGTCTGGGCGACAGAGCAAGACTCCATGTCAAAAAAAAGTAATAATATACACACACACACACACACACACACACACACACACATATATATATACACATATGCAGCTGGCCAGGTACGGTGGCTGACGCCTATAATCCTAGCACTTCGGGAGGCCAAGGTGGGAGGATCACTTGAGGTCAGGAGTTTGAGACCAGCCTGGCCAACATGGTGAAACCCCATCTCTACTAAAAATACAAAAATTAGCCTGGTGTGGTGATGCACGCCTGTAATTCCAGCTACTCGGAAGGCTGAGGCAGGAGAATCGCTTGAACCTGGGAGGCAGCATTTGCAGTGAGCCGAGATCATGCCACTGCACCCCAGCCTGGGTGACATCGTGAGACTCTGTCAAAAAATATGTTTGTGTTTATGGAGACAGGGTTTCACCATCTCTGTGATTACAGGCAGATGCCACGTGCCAGGTTCTCAGAGTATATTTTTAAAAGATACTTGTTTAGTGTTAGAGATGTGCATTGACAACAGGTCTTTTACACCCATTCTCATGTTATCTTCAAAATTATGGGGTGAAATATAATTATTCTATTTTACCAAAGACAGATTTGAGGCTCAGGTTAAGCTATTTATTCCTGGAATCAATCCTCTTATTTGAAAAGCTTCTGGAAGACAGGGATCCTGTCTTAAACGTGTTTCTTCACAGCACCTAGCACGGAGCTCTGTCCACGTGGTAGGCGTTCAGACAGTTTGTGCTGAACGAAGGATATGGATTCTCAAGTCAAAGCTCCGGGCGTTGACTCTCAAGTCAAAACTCCAGGGAATTGAAGCACCAGAGGGCGCCCATGAGCCCGCCCACCCGCGGGTCCCCAGGGCCCAAGCCGGACCTCAGGCCTGGGTGCGCCCCAGCAGAACAGGGGGCGCGGGGGCGAGGGAAGCCCCAAGTCCTCCGTTCGCCCCGCCCCCTCCCCAGAGCCACGCCGCGCGGAGCTGCACGGTGCTGAACGACGACTCGACATCCTGTTTTTGGGCCCCGCGGCTCCGCCTGCGCCTCTGCTGATCTTGTCTTTCCCTTGGGTGCTGACGCCAGCGCCTCTTCCCCTACGAGTCTCCCCACCTTCCCCAGGGGTCTGGGGCCTTCCCACTGCTGAATCACCACCACCTCGCACTCCCCCAGCGCTCAGGGCAGGGGTGGGGACTGTCCCAGCCTCGGCCACCACTCTATCCCTGGGGCTGGCTGAAGGCACCAGGCCCAGGGGCGCCTTTCTCAGCATCTTCCCGCGGAGGCTGGTGAGGTCAGGATGGGGGGAAGAGGAGGAACGCCTACCGCCTAGAGTAGGGCCTCCAGGGGTGGGGTGGCCAGGAGGAGGCAGAGAGACCTAGACCTTGGGAGGCCTGACTTACTGGCCGCAGGGGCAGCGAGTCAGGAGGGGGAAAGTGGCGAGCCCGGGACTAGGCCGGGGGCGAGGCTGGGGGCGGGCCGGGGCTGAAGAGGGGGAGACCGGCCCTCAGACTTCCTGGTGGGGCCCCGCCCCGCCCCGCCGGTCTGCCCCCCCCACTTCCTCCGGCCTCCCGCTCTCACTTCCTTCTCGAGCCCGGAGCCGCTGCCGCCGCCCCCAGCTCCCCCGCCTCGGGGAGGGCACCAGGTGAGGCCCGGCCGGGGCTGGTGGGTAGGGGTCCGGGGAACGGGAGCCCGGCCGGCCCAGGACTCGGCGCGGGCGCGGGCGCCGGCCCATGAGTTTGCTGGCGGGGGCCGCGGGCGGGAGCTTCTAGGCTCAGTCCAAGTAGGGCGGGCGCGGCCGGCCGGGCGGGGCGCGGACGGGGCCACTGCGAGCCGGTGGAGGCTCGGCGAGGGTGGCTTGCCGGCGGCTGTACCGCCTCTCGGGAGCCGAGAGGAACCCCTGAGGTCAGAGGGTCCCGGGCTCCAAGAGAAGTGTCTCTAAAGTGGAAAAGCTCAGAGCTGGGAGATAGGACTCAGGTGGGGTGTCCTCAGAAGTTGCGGGGGGTGTTGAGAAGTGCATGAGGGGAGAGGGCTTCTGAGCTGGAAAAGGCAGTCCCTCTGCTCTGGCAGTTGTGACACTTGTCGGGGTTAGAGGGGCGGTGTCTGGGGCCTCCGAAAGCTCTCTCCCTGGAAGATCCATGCTAATCCAAACTCACACTCGGGCTGCAGCCCGAAGGCCCTCTGCACTCAGGAGGACCGGGGTTAGGGTTGGGGGAGCCCCGCCGATCCCAGTTGTTCTCTATATGCCTGTTTTCCTTGAGTCCCAACCTTACCTGGAGCCAAGCAGTAGGTATTTAGTGAGCGAACGCTGTTCCTACCTGACCAGAGCCTGGCCTTGCTCTTTTGGGAGTAACTTGGTCTTGCCCTGTGACTGGAGGTGGAAGGACTCTCATTCAGAGGTACTGATAGTCCCTGACAAGTTTTTGTTGTGTCTTTTGGGGCCGATTGAGAACCATCTCCTAGTGTTCCTCTTCATTCTTAGTCCCTGAATTATACACATGCTCCTATCGTCTCCCTCCACGCCTTTAGTTTCTACCCAGAAATCCGCCATCACTCTCTTCTCATCCCTTTCAGTCTCTTTTCCTCCAAATATGCAGTCATACCTAGGCCTTGACCTCTCTTCACCTACCCAGCCCCATGTTCATCTCAGTCCTCTGCAACCTGCCCCATCCCTTCCCTTCCCAGCTCTGGCACCCACACACTTACACCTCCTTGCGTTTTCCATCACCCCTCATTCCTCTTGAACCTTCAGCCTGTCACCCTCTCTGTATCCTTCTCTCTCACCCACTTATCTCCAGCTTTGGAATCAGGATCTGTTGTTGAAGACTTAGTGAGTTCCAGAGTCTTTTCAAACCTCCCTAGCTTGGAGAGGCAGACTGCAGCCTCCCGGTGATAGAGATGGATTAAAGAGCTGGAAAGCGTGTGTGTGTGTGCGCGCGCGCGAGAGAGACAGAGAAAGAGTGTCTGTGTGTCTACATCTTTATCTCTTACAGACAAAATAACTGCCCTCAGCCTTGAGAGGGCCCAAGGGGAAACCAGCAAAATGAAGGGAACCTGCAGTGAGTGAGGTTGTGGTTAGGCAGGAGGAAGCAGTCTGTAGCAGTCAGGGTAGGGTAACACAGGAATAAGACTGGTAAGAGAGGCCCTGGGAAATCAAAATCACCCCAACCTGTGGTGCTTGACCAAGGGGCCAGGCCTGGAAGCCGGGAGACAGCCTGAAGGTCCCTGACTCCATTACCTACTAGTTCCAGCATCACCTGGTGGAAAGAATGGGACCAACTTGGGTGTGATGGAAATAAAGGGAGGAGGCAAAGGCAGGATTCTGGAGGAAAGACTGCAGCTGGTCTAACTTCGAACTTAACTGTTTTAGTTTTGAATTAAGAAGCGGTTGAGGCAAAGGTGTCTGCTCCTTTCCTGCTGCCTTCCAGGGCCTGCCTAGGCCGGGTACCCAGATGCCCTGGTCTGCATCAGGGCCTTAGTGACCAGGAAGCCCTCTGGAGTTCTACTGACCCCTCTGCCTTCAGGCATCCTTAATATTCCCCATCTCACCTAGGACCCTATTCCTTCTCCGGAATTCCTCCCAAATTTAACTTCAGTCCATCCTGGCTATGGAAGCTCTTGTTGTTTCCACTCTAGAGCTCCTTCCTCAAGCTTTTGGGGTGCATGCTGAGGATCTTGCTTCTATCTACCTCCTCCAGTCATCTGTATTCATTTCTCTCCACTAGAAAAAAAAGAGAAGTAGAGGGGAGTTAAGTGCTACAGCTAAATTTAAGGGCTCTCCCTGTTCCCCATTCTGTCATCTTCCCATGTCACAGTCGTCCCTCTCCCATGAATTGTTCTTCTTCCCGTCCTTCCCTTCCACCCACCTGTCTTTCTTTGCATTTCTTGGAGGTACAGAAGTGTGGCTGCGGGAAGAAATCCCAGGGACCTACATAAAAGCCCAGTTTAGAGAAGGATGTGCATACAAGGCACTTTCCCAGCATCACAGCTTAATAAAAACCCCAGGAGTCCCAATTTCTAGGCTGGCAAACCAGTAGTCACTTTAGTATTCTGCGTAACTGAGCAAACCCACAGGGCTCTGATGGTAAAGACAAGATGGGTGAGACAGGGATTCTCCCAGGTGAGATCTGGTCCCATTGGAAGTTTGAGCTAATTGCAAAAAAGGCATTGTTGGAAAAAATGTGACCAGGGCGGGAGAGATTTTAATGGGAAAATATTGGGGGTGAAGGGAGGTGGTGGCTACAACCTAGGAGGCTGCCACTAAAGTCTTGGCTAAACATGTCAAGGTTGTGACGTGAAGAAGGGGGCTCAGGCCCACACTGAAGACTCCTTCTATATATTGTAGACCCATTAGCAGTGAGGTCAGTAGGGGTCCGTGAGAAGAGCTGAGGAGGGAAACCAAAGACAAAGCCTGGGCCACCTCCCCAGATCAGACTGGTTTTCCTGTCCAGGGTCCAGCTTCCTCTTTTGTCCTCATTTCATATGGGGGGAGGGCATCTCTCCAGGAGCTAGAGGCCAGAGGAGGAGCTTCTCAGCTAGGGCAGGGCCAGAGTGGCTGACTGTTGAGTAATGTCAGTTCTAAATCATGAATGCACCAGGATGGGCTAGGCATGAGGGCCTGGGAACTTAGAAGCAAAAAGGGCTCACATGTAAGTCAACCCACCCTTTGGTCCATTTTCTGAAGGAATAAACTATGGTGGGGTTGTCCTGAATGAGGTTAAAGAGATGGTTGGTCCATTCTGAGGCTGGAGTTAGAATCCTCACCTTCTCTCCTTTGTAGAAGTAGCATAAGGATGGAGGTTAGAAGACCCGATCCTTGTCCTAGATTTGCTACCAACTGTATATAATCCTTGTCAACTTGGTTTCTCTTGGCTCCATTTCAGCATTAAGGAGTTGCATATCAGTACCTCCAAAGGGGACAGTGAACATCATGGCTCTGACTCTTCCTCCCCCAAGAGACTCATAGCAGTGCCCCTCACTCTGGGCCCTCATGTCTTATCAGCCTCAATTTGACAGGTCTGAGTAGTCTCTACATATATATCTGTCCAGGGATAGAACTGTGGCCCTTTCTCCAAGCACAAGGATTGTTAGAGCTTGAGAGATAAGAAGGCAAAGAATGTTGGGGATTTTGCCAGGGGGTAGTAAGATGGAGTACCCTGTCTCCTGCTCCGGCTCTGCCTCACTGATGGTGGAAAATAGATGCCGGAGTTTCCTCCCTGATGTTATTTTCCCTTGTGGAAACCCCCTCAAGCCTTGGGCGGGGCTAAAGGGACTGGGTAGCCCTGGGTCTCTCTGTGGGTATTTTCAGGTGGGGGTGCCAGGATTGGGAGGATGGCACTTCTGTACAGCCTCATGTGAAATTAGCAAAGGCAAAGGAAGTGCCACTTCACAGGCCTTTGGTGGGGCCCAGGGACTGCTGAGCTGCTGCTAGGCGGGGAGGAGGAAGCCAGTGTGCACCCTTCCTCTGTGCTGTGTGGGGGAGGGGGCAGCTTCCTTGGCTCCCCCAGCCAGAGCCGTCCTGGTCCTGAGGCTCACTTTTTTTTTTTTTTTTTGAGATGGAGTCTTGCCCTGTCACCCAGGCTGGAGTGCAATGGCACGATCTCGGCTCACTGCAACCTCCACCTCCTAGGTTCAAGTCATTCTCCTGCATCAGCCTCCCAGGTAGCTGGAACTGCAGGCATGTGCCACTAGGCCCGGCTAATTTTTTTTGTATTTTTAGTAGAGATGGGGTTTCACCATGCTGGCCAGGCTGGTCTCAAATTCCTGACCTCAAGTGATCCGCCAGCCTCAGCCTCCCAAAGTGCTGGGATTACAGACGTGAGCCACGTGCCCAGCTGAGGCTCACCTTTTATGGAACACTTGGGGTGCTGGGACAATGAAGGAAGAAGGTTGGGAACTAGGACTTAGTGAAAGGGTCCTGGACTGCCCCTCAGACTTCCCAGCTACCACTGTCTCATTTCCTAGTGGGTGGCATCAACTCTTCTTTCCTTCCCTGCTGCAGTGCAGGATCCTCTCCAGGGGCTGAAGGATGAATGGCAAGAGGTGGAGAGTCCTCCAGCATGGATTTTTTTTTTCTTTTCTTTTTTTTTGAGACAGAGTCTTGCTCTGTTGCCCAGGCTAGAATGCAATGGCATGATCTCTGCTCACTGCAACCTCTGCCTCCTGGGTTCAAGTGATTCTCCCTCAGCCTTCCGAGTAGCTGGGATTACAGTCACCCACCACCACACCCGGCTAATTTTTGTATTTTTAGTAGAGATGGGGTTCCACCATGTTGGGCAGGCTGGTTTCGAACTCCTGATCTCAAGTGATCTGCCTGCCTTGACTCCCAAAGTACTGGGATTACAGGCGTGAGCCACAGCACCCAGGGGAATTTTTTTTTTTTTTTTTTTTTTTAAGGCTAGAAACTGGGCTCTCTTGGGTTCTTCCCTGCTGATGGGGAGAAAGGGAAGAAAGAGACTCAGCCCTTGGCCTGGTCCCAGCCCCACACTGACCTCATGTCCCCCCAGCTTCCTCCTCCCAGCCCAGCTGCAGCCAGCTGCAGCCCCTTTGAGCCTCTTTATATCACCTCTCCTCTATTCCTCCCTTCAAAACAAACAAACAAACAAACTTGTAGAGCTTCAGAAGTCTTTCCAACAGTGCCCCTGCCCCTTGCCTTGTCTTTGACCAAGGGTTCTCAGATATTCCCAGTCTGTAGCCTGTCAGGACCACTTTTCCTTCCCATCTTTCTCATCATCTCTGAGCTAGATCTGCCAGCTTCACCTCTCACCCTTCCAGTTGAAGACAAGACAGTATAGCTTATGTGTTTATTATCCCAACTTGGAGCTCTTCAGGGTGAGTCAGAAAGAAGTTGGTTACTTTTGTCTTGTGTCTTCTGGTCATAGAGGTTCTTCCTTGTTCCCAGCATCAGAGTCTGTGGATTGATGGGGGAGGAGGGGTATGTCATTCTACAGCTTTTGCTCAGCCCTTCCCTGGGTTTCTGGAAATAAACAGAAGGTCAGACTACCCTCCCCCTGAAGCATCCAGTTAGTTCAGCACGATGAAGAGTACAGTCAGTGCTGGGAAAGGTAAGGCAGGAGAGGGGGTTGCTGTGATGTCCTGGAGAAGCTGGGGAACAGTACTGGGCCTGAAGGACAGGAAGGATCTGAAGGGGGGTGAGTTGCATTCCAGGAAGAGGAACTCCCACATGCAAAGACATGATTGCATCGAGTTCATTCAGTTATTTACTGACAGCTACTACATGCTGTGCTCAGCTTAGGGTGCTCAGCAAGGTCCAGTCAACCAGGACCTTGCCCTCTAGACACTCCCAGTCTAATAACAAGAGATAAGATTCACATCAGCCTCTCCATGCCTGTGAGAGAGACAGCCAGACTTTGGATAGGATAAGTCACTTCTGACTTGGACAATTTACGCTTTCCTCGAAGAGGCGGCAATGGTGCATGGTTCCATATTACTACTTGATGTATTTTAGGGAAGAGAATATGGAGGCCCCTTTGTAGAGGATCAGGATTGGAATGGCCAGAGATGGATTGTAGTTATAATGAGGTTCAGGGAGGGCTGCAGAAAGGGAGCCCCATGTTAGGGAGGCAGGTTATAGAAGGCTGAGGTAAGTTCCCATCACCTCCATACTCGCCTATCTCTTAAGAGCCCGTTCCTCCCCTCCCCCACTCCCAGTTGGGACACTTCCCCTGCTGTAACAGCCACAGAGATCTGGCAATCAAGCTACTTCCTTTCCCTCCCCCATTCTGGGCCTGCCTGGGCCACACCCCAAGCCGGGCTCCAGGGACCACACTCAGACAGGGTTAGCACCCCATGGGCTATACTCCCTGCCAGAGCCAGGTCAAGCTGGTACTGGGAAGAGAGGTTTTTGCCTATTTCAGGCATAGCTTTTGCCTGTCATTGCTGTCCGATAAGATTCAGCATTGCAGTATTGTCTGTTGTGGGGTGGGCAGGGAGTGTCCGATACTGGGCTTCAGAGAGGTGTCTCCATATCTCAGTAATGAGTGCTGGCACAAGCAGATCAAAAGGCAATGGTTGTACAGTCCTGTGTGCCTAGCCCTATACTTAGAGGTTTTTTTTTTGTCATTTAGTCCAGAGAAGCCAAGACTTCAGACTGAAGGGCATCCACAGCTGGGAAACTTACGTATGACTGTTGGAAAAGGAGAATCACACAGAGCCAAAGCAGGATTAAAAGGGGGGCCATGGATGTGGTGGCTCACTCCTGTAATCCCAGCACTTTCAGAGGCCAAGGCAGGTGGATCACTTGAGGCCAGGTGTTCGAGACCAGCCTGGCCAACATGATGAAACCCTGTCTCTACTAAAAATACAAAAATTAGCTGGGCATGATGGCACGTGCATGTAGTCCCAGTTACTCAGGAAGCTGAGGCAGGAGAATCGCTTGAACCTGGGAGGTGGAGGTTGCAGTGAGCTGAGATCGAGACACTGCACTCCAGCCTGGGTGACAGGTGGCCATGCAACGGATAGCCAAAGAAGAATTCAGTAACCTTATGGAACTATGAAACTTAAGTTAGGCTTTAAGGAATAAGGAAGATTAGAGAAGGGAAAGGGAATAGTAGCGGAGGGAAAAACAAGAGTAAAAGTTCAGAGGCAAGAATGATCCTGACTTGTTTGCAGAGGACATTGAAAATCCCTCTGGAACAGGGAACTGGGAACTCACACTTGCAAAGTACCTAGATTGTGTACATATTATACATTAATGCACTTAGTCCTTGTAACACTGCTATGTGGTAGGTACCATACGTTGCTGCTGCATTTGAAAGATAAGGAGATTGAAGCTTAGAGAGGCAAATCATCATAAGCTCAGGGTCACAGAACTGGTAAGAGGCAGAACTAGGATTCAAACCCAAGTCTATATAACTCTAATACCCCTTACCAAATTGTGAAGAACTCTAAATGACAATATGAGGGACCAGGCATGATCTGAATTGGGACTAAAAAGCCAGAATAAGTCATTGTAATTTGTCTAATAACATACAGATCTGGCCAGGCGTGGTGACCCACACCTGTAATCCCAGTACTTTGGGAGGCCTAGTCAGGAGGATCACTTGAGATCAGGAGTTCAAGACCAGCCTAGGCAACATAGCAAGACCCTGTCTCTACAAACAAACAAAAAATAAATAAAAAATACAAAAATTAGCCATGTGTGGTGGTGCCTGCCTGTAGTCCCAGCTACTCAGGAGGCTGAGGTAGGATGCCTTGAGCCTGGGAGGTTGAGACTAAAGTGAACTGTGATGGCACCACTGTATTCCAGCCTGGGCAACAGGCTTTTGTCTCCAAAAGAAAAAACAAATCAAAACAGATCGGCAACCACTGATTTACTAAATAACTTTTTTTTTTTTTGAGACATGGGGTCTTGCTGCGTTGCTCAGGCTGGAGTGCAGTGGCTACTCACAAGGACAATAACCTTAACTAGTGTAGCACACTACAACCCTTCACTCCTGGGCTCAGCCTCCCTAGTAGCTGGGACTGCAGGTGCACCACTGAGCTAGGCTTAATGATTTTTTTTTGAAAAAGCCACTTAGTGAATAAGTCATCGTTGAACCCCGCTCCAGGTAGGTCACACTCCTGGTTTGGCCACCTGCAGCGCTGACATCCCTTCTTCCTATTTGGCGCAGTTTAGACTCTACCTTTTAGCATATGCCCTCCTGAAATGGGCTATGGGAACTTAATTCAACCCAGTTCAGGCCAAAGGATTTCAGAAAGAAGAGTTGTTTTGGGAGAGAGGATAAAGGTCTGAACTAGACCTGTGTAGGGAGGACTGGGCTGATCCCCCACCACAGACACAGGCATACTCAGTGCTTCCTGCCTTCTGGGATGAAATGCTTTGCTCCTGTCACCTCCTGTGTGCACAACACTTCAGTTTACAAAGCGTATTCATTCCCATGGTCAGGTTCCTTGATGCTGCCCGTGAGGCTGGGAGGGCTACTATTATTACTTCTACTGTATAGATGAAGAAACGGAGGCTCCAAGAAAGGCAGTAACTTACCTGATCAAGGTCACACAGTTAGCTGGCAAGGGGTAACTTGAAGACTGTAAGATGCACCGTGGAAAACACAGGGCTTTGGGTCACAAAACTGGGTTTGTGTTCTGGCTGCCATACTAACTAGCTGTGTGATGTAGAGTTACTTTTACTGCTCTGAATTTGTTTCCTCATCTGTAAAATAGGAATAGTACTGACAGGTTGTTATAAAGGTCAAATGACATAACAACATGCAATCTATAAAGGCTTATACCATATGGGGGCTTTTTTTTTTTAAATCAAGGGTCAAGGTCAGCAGATAAACTCAAGACATCAGAGTCAGGTATCCAGTACTCTTGGCCCTATTCCACACTGCCTTTGCTCTGCTTGTTTCTGGACAGTACCATACTCATCATCCTTTTCCAGTGTCAGTCCTTGTTCCCTTCCCAGCCCAGAAGCTACCCTGTCCTTTCCCCTCTCCTTTGAGAGCTAATTTACTGATTGCTAGTTGATAACCACCTCCTTAGAGAGCTGTACTTCCAGTTTCTTGGGCCTTGTGACAGCCAGCCAGAGTTCCCTCCTTGTCTTCCTGCCTGGGCCAGCCCAGCGCTGGGCTTTTCAGTCAGACTGTCAACACCCACTCCCCTGCTCTGTGTGGAACTGAAGATTGCAGGCCCAGGAGTTCTGCTTTGAATGTCAGGGCTTCCCACATAATCCATTGGGCACATGTAATGCCACCTGCCTCCAAGGAGCTTTAAGTCTTAGTTCATCTACCTAGTGCTGTTGTAACAACCATTGTAATCTCCAATTCCTGGATAGGAAAACTGAGGCCCAGCAAGCGTAAATGCCTCAAGCTTGGTTGTAGTGCGTGAATGCCTCAAGCTTGGTTGTAGTGAGTCAGCACAACTGGGGTTAGAACTTAGGTCTCTCAACTTCCAGTCTGAAGTCTCTATTCGACTCTCCACTGACCTAGAGGGTCCTTATGCCCTTCCCTGACCCACACTCTGAGGGTCTCTAGCTGAATGTCCTGAGGTTACATGCACATACATGTGCACACGCACACACACACACTCATTCATGCAAATAGGATGGAAATATTTTTTAATGTGAACCAGAGACACAACTTCATAAAGTGAAATCATTTCTTTCCCAGCTGATTCCAAGGGAAACTGTACCCTGGGAGGGAGCTGGGACCAAGCCCTGGGTCCTTTGCATCCCCCATACCACGAAAGTTTCTTTTCCACTTCCCAGTGGGGATTTTCTTCTCCACTTGTCATTGATTTTTGAAGCTTCTGAACCAGTGGTGACAGCTCAGGCTGCAGGGGTAAGGGGTTCCCAGACCAGGGTGCAGCCTTGCAGTATAGCAAGTGAAATGGAGAAAATGGGCTAGTGGTGATGGTGCTTGGGTGGAGCCAGGGATAAGGAATACTCAGGGATTTGGTTGTGTTTAAAACAGGGCTGCCCCCTCTCAGGGAGCAGGCCCTGGTTGTGGGAGACAGTCAGGGAAAGGAAGTCACATATTGACCACCAAGAGTCCCCCATGGCCAAAAAGTAGCTGATGAGAGAAGGACCCTTGCCATAGCAGTGTAAATAATCGCAGGGTTTCTGGAAGCTTTGCTTCAGAACTCAGAAAAGCAGTTCCTCACCCCAAGGCCCTATGACCTGCAGAGGTGACCAGATGTTGGCTGGAGCCGGGACTCCTCATACTTACCCCACTAATAAATACAGCAGCCCATTTATTGGGCACTTGCTATGTGCCATACCTCATGCTGGACACCTTCTATACATTATTAACTCTTACTTTTTTTTTTTTTTTTTTTGAGACAGGGTCTTGCTCTGTCGCACAGGCTGGAGTGCAGTGGTATGAACATAGCCCACTGCAGGCTTGACCACTCTGTAATCAAGTGATGCTCCCACCTCAGCCTCCCAAGTAGCTGGGACAACAGGCGTGTACCACCACACCCTGATAATTTTTTCATTTTTTGTAGAGTCACGGTTTTGCGATGTTGCCCAGGCTAGTCTCAAACTCCTGGGCTCAATTGATCTACCTGCCTCGTTCTCCCAAAGTGCTAGGATTACACTGTGCCTGGCCTCATTTCATATTCTGAGCAATTGTAGTGCAATAGGCAAGATTATCCCCATTTTACAGATGAGAAAATTGAGGCTTGGGGAACAAATATATTGCCAAGATCACATATAACTAGTTGGTGGAACTGTGATTAGAATCCCTGCCAGTTTTAATCTAGCATCTATGTTCTTAATGATGGTATTTTCTACCCAAGAGTCTGGAAGGCTCTAAAATCTTTCAGAGGCACATGCCAGGGTCTCAGGAAATGGACAGAAGATTGAGGGGAAAGTCAAGTTTTTGTCTTACTCTTGACTTCATCCTTCCTAGTTGGGCTTGAAAGATTTGCTCCAGGCCGGGCATGGTGGCTCATGCCTGTAATCCCAGCACTTTAGGAGGCCAAGGCGGGCGGATCACAAGGTCAGGAGTTCAAGACCAACCTGACCAACATGGTGAAACCCCATCTCTGCTAAAAATACAAAAATTAGCCAGGCGTGGTGGCAGGTGCCTATAATCCCAGCTACTCAGGAAGGTGAGGCAGGAGAATCACTTGAACCCAGGAGGCAGAGGTTGCAGTGAGCCAAGATTGTGCCACTGCACTCCAGCCTGGGCAACAGAGCGAGACTCCATCTCCAAAAAAAAAAGATTTGCTCCACCCCACCAAGGACCTTGAGAGAAGATACTAACGTCTGGGAGCCTCAGCCTCTACCTCATTCATCATAACATACCCAGACCCCAGTCCAAATCCCAGGTTCAGCGGAATCTCCAGTAATCCCTTGCATTGAATTTGCTGTACTGAATTGGCAACCAGAGTGTGCACGGCCAGATAGGGTTTTCAGTACTTATAAGAATGATGGGGTGGCCAGGTGTGGTGGCTCACACCTGTAATCCCACCATTTTGGGAGCCCGAGGCAGGTGGATCACCTGAAGTCAGGAGCTTGAGACCAGCATGGCTAACATGGCGAAACTCCATTTCTACTAAAAATATAAAAATTAGCCGGATGCAGTGGCGTGTGCCTGTAGTCCCGGCCACTCGGGAGGCTGAGGCAGGAGACACTTGAACCTGGGAGGTGAAGGTTGCAGTGAGCTGAGATCGCGCCACTGCACTCCAGCCTGGGCGACAGAGTGAAACTCCATCTCAAAAAAAAAAAAAACAAATTTCCCCCTTGCCACAATACCCTGGATTGGGATAGGGCAGCTCTCTGAAGAATTGAGCCCCTTACTCAGCAGGTTTCTTACTGTGCCTTTTGGTTTGTACTCAGTAGCCAAGATACTAGGTTTGGAGAGGGCAGGGTGGGCCCTGAGTTGAGAGAGGTTCTACCTATGGCTGCATCACAGAGTGACCTGGAACAGCTGTCCTGTGCCAGAACCCTTTCCAGTCTCCTGGTGGAAAGTGTCCATATTTAGTAGAGGATCTAGTGGATCCCTAAATTTGTGCACTCTCCTTTTGTGTCTGTATAGCCTGGAAAATAGCTAATACTGGCCAGGCGTGGTGGCTCACACCTGTAATCCCAGCACTTTGGGAGACCAAGGCGGGCGGATCACAAGGTCAGGAGATCAAGACCATCCTGGCTAACTCGGTAAAACCCCATCTCTACTAAAAATACAAAAAATTAGCTGGGTGTGGTGGTGGGCGCCTGTAGTCCCAGCTACTCGAGAGGCTGAGGCAGAATGGCGTGAACCCAGGTGGCGGAGGTTGCAGTGAGCAGACATCGCACCACTGCACTCCAGCCTGGGTGACAGAGCGAGACTCCGTCTAAAAAAAAAAAAAAGAAAAGCTAATACTTATGCATGAGGCACTGTTTTAAATGCTTTACATGTATTATATAATCCTTATAATGACTCAATGAGGTAGATATTATTTTATCCTCATTTTACTGGTAAGAAAACTTAGGCATAGAGAGGTTAAGCAATTTGTTCAGGGTTACACAGCTAGGAAATGCAAAACCAAGATTTGACCTTAGTTTATCTGGCGCCAGAGCTTATGTGCTTTCTACCACATTATACTGCATCTTTGCTCGGTCTCAGGGCCTTTCATTGTGTATCTTTCTGATGACTGTCTTGATGGGACTTTGGGATATTGTCAGGTTAAGGGAACAGGAGCCGGTTTCCCTTTGTGTGCCCTTATCTTTTCTTCCCAGTAGGCAGAGGCCTCCCTAACCAAGAATGTCCCCTTTCATCCGTCCACAGGTCACTGCAGCCAGAGAGGTCCAGAAGAGAGAGGAGGCACTGCCTCCACTACAGCAACTGCACCAACGATGCAGAGCATCAAGTGCGTGGTGGTGGGTGATGGGGCTGTGGGCAAGACGTGCCTGCTCATCTGCTACACAACTAACGCTTTCCCCAAAGAGTACATCCCCACCGTGTTCGACAATTACAGCGCGCAGAGCGCAGTTGACGGGCGCACAGTGAACCTGAACCTGTGGGACACTGCGGGCCAGGAGGAGTATGACCGCCTCCGTACACTCTCCTACCCTCAGACCAACGTCTTTGTCATCTGTTTCTCCATTGCCAGTCCGCCTTCCTATGAGAACGTGCGACACAAGTGGCATCCAGAGGTGTGCCACCACTGCCCTGATGTGCCCATCCTGCTGGTGGGCACCAAGAAGGACCTGAGAGCCCAGCCTGACACTCTACGGCGCCTCAAGGAGCAGGGCCAGGCGCCCATCACACCGCAGCAGGGCCAGGCACTGGCCAAGCAGATCCACGCTGTGCGCTACCTCGAATGCTCAGCCCTGCAACAGGATGGTGTCAAGGAAGTGTTCGCCGAGGCTGTCCGGGCTGTGCTCAACCCCACTCCGATCAAGCGGGGACGGTCCTGCGTCCTCTTGTGACCCTGGCACTCGGCTTGGAGGCTGCCCCTGCCCTCCCCCACCAGTTGTGCCTTGGTGCCTTGTCCGCCCCAGCTGTGCCTTAAGGACTAATTCTGGCACCCCTTTCCAGGGGGCTCCCTGAATGCCTTTTTCTCTGAGTGCCTTTTTCTCCTTAAGGAGGCCTGCAGAGAAAGGGGCTTTGGGCTCTGCCCCGCTCTGCTTGGGAACACCGGGTATTCTCATGAGCTCATCCAAGCCAAGGTTGGACCCCTCCCCAAGAGGCCAACCCAGTGCCCCCTCCCATTTTCCGCTACTGACCAGTTCATCTAGCTTTCCACACAGTTGTTGCTGCCTATTGTGGTGCCTCCTCAGGTTAGGGGCTCTCAGCCATCTCTAACCTCTGCCCTCGCTGTTCTTGGAATTGCACCCCCAAGATGCTCTCTCCCTTCTCCAGTGAGGGAGCCACAGAATCCTGAGAAGGTGAATGTGCCCTAACCTGCTCCTCTGTGCCCAGGCCTTACGCATTTGCTGACTGACTCAGCCCCCATGCTTCTGGGGGCCTTTCCTACCCCCATCAGCATCAATAAAACCTCCTGTCTCCAGTGGCCCCGGCTCCTCCCTGTGTGCTGGGCATTAGCGGGTGGGCATGGGCTAGGGCTCCCCAGAGACTGGGAGCCTTTTGTTTCTTCTAGTAGACAATAGGCTTCATTGTGGTCCCCTCACCCCCCAATTTCCCTAACAAAGCTCTAGGCTCCCTTGGAGGGGGCAGTCTTGCTGTGGGGCCCAGTCACAGATGCTATAGTGGACTCAGACACAAAACTTGAGGAAAGACTTCCTGATCTTAGGACTCAGAAAGGGAGAGGTTGAGAGCCATTAGCCTAAAGGCAGATGCTCTCACAGTCATGCATCTGAGAGCTGTACCTCACATCACCAAGAGGACAGTGCTTTAACAGGAGTTGGAGTTTGAACCCAGGTCTCTGCCTCAACTGAAGACTTCCGGGTATCCTAGCTTGCAGTCCTAGAATCATTACAGATAGCTCAGTCACTCCTGCTCACCAAAACAGAGGCTTAGACCAGCCTTAGGAGACTCCAGATCTAAGGGGGATTGGGGGGATGCTGCTAGGAGTCATACCCTGCCATGGACTTACTCCCTCCCCACTCGAGCCTGTTTCTCTCCCAGTTCCTATCAAACAAGATGAGCCCCAAGACTGGCAAGCCTAAGCGACTGTTGGCCCCCCCAAAAAATTTATTTTCCTTTAAAACAAAACGTACAACCAAAATTTAGGGTTTGGAGCAGTAGGGAAGACAGGAGATACCAGAGAGCCCATTTTACAGTAGAAATCTGCATCTGACCCCTCTATCCCATACCTTTGCAAAGGAGGGGAGGGGTCTATAAGCCAGAACTTTCAGAAGAGAGAAGAAAATACATGGTGTGCTGGTGCTGTTTCTGGAGCAGGTCATCCTTTAGGTACAAAACACCACCTCCACCCAATGACATCAGAACCACTGACTGGTAGAGCCCTTGGAAATCATACAGCCCACCCATCCCCCATCAGACACATGGACACACTGAGGCTCAGATAGGGAAGGGTACATACCATAGGGCGCACACCACATCAAAAAGGTGAAGTCAGGACTAGAACACCTGAGCAGCTTTAGCAGGGGACTGTGGCCACAGGCCTGGATGTGCACAGTAGATCATGAAATACATTAGTCCTGTGAATGACCCCGTGGAGAGAAATGGCTGTGGTTGTCAGGGAGCAGCAACTGCTCAGGGGCTCCTGACCTCAGTGAAAGATGACTACGTAAAGGCCAGAAAGTGGGTGGTGGTCATGAACCTCAGGACGTTTTTTTAGCACCAAATGGTGGAGCTCTCTGCCAGCTCAGCTTCTTGGGGCCTCTCAGGTAAAGGTGATGTTGCTTGAGGACCCCATGCCCATATGAGGGGTGGAGAGGAGAAGCCAGCAGCACTGGGGTGAGCCTTGGCCTATGCCCTTCCTTCTTACCCTTCCCCCATCTTCAGTAAGGCCAAGAGAGGATGTAGGGTGGGGAAGGCCAGAATGGTATCTTGTTTCTTGTTTCTGGGCAGTGGGCTTCCTCCTCCCAAGCAGGACTGAAGGGTTCAGAATCGCTTTTCCTCAGGCTGAGAGGTTATGAGCAGCTCCTTGTTCCCGAAGTCCCACCAGGCCGTCATGTGGAACGCCATGTTGGTTAGGACAACAGTGTACTCCAGGATGGCAAAGATGGTGTACACTGTTGTGAGGACACAAGGAACAGGGCATGATGAACTTCCTGCTACCCCCTCAGGGGCCTCTTGATAAATCACACCACCATTAGTCTGCCACAGAGAACACAATGGCAGTCAGTCCCCAAGACCATTTCCATTATCAAAAACATCACTGCTGCCCCATAGCCACTCATGACTGCCTGTGGATCCTATCCTGACCTCACCTCCAGCCTCACAATACATGTTGTGCCGAAAGTAGACAGCCAGCGCCGAGAAGAAGGAGACGAAGTTGATGACGAAGAGCCGCTGTTTCCAGCTGTAGGACTTCCGATCCTAGGGAATGGGCTGTCTGATCACTCTGCAGCTTGCTGGGATGAGAGCTAGGGCTCCCCTCTCAGCCCTAGCTCCTAAGGGCTGGGCCTTAACTCCCTTGGCTCCCACTAGTGGTCATGGAAGGCAGCACAGGCAGGGGCAGCAAGAATGAGGAACATGTTGACGTCCCTGCCTCTGGGGGAGTGATGGGCCAAGGAGCAGTGGTATTCCTGCCCCTTCCACTTCAGGGGGATGGAGTATGAAAGTTACATGGAGTCACCCACCAACCCCCACCTCCAAATACTGTGCGGGGAAAGAAACCCATATACACATGTGGGGCGCTGAAATTATGACAGACCACAGTCCCCTGACACTGTTCCTAACTCACTGCCACCTAGATGCAACTCCTCATTCTATCCCCATTTGCAGCCTCCATCTCTTCTATTCTCCAGTCTCCCACACTACCCAAACACAGTGCTATAGTCCTAGATTCTGACCAACCACCCTCAGTTTGTCACCAAGCCCCAGCCCCAACCCCAGCACCCCTCTGCCAGGGTTCCCATTAGAACTTAGTTCCCACCTCACCATTACCCAAATCCTGAGGACAGATGTCCTTGATTTTCTTCTGGGTTGCTTGGAGCCCCCGCTAGGGATAGACCGTACCTCCTGACTTACTGTGTGCTTCTTGGTCAACCGCCAGAGAATACAGGTGAGGAGCATATGCCCGAGGGATGAGGCGATGAACACAATGAAAGCATTTTCGTGGATGGCTAGAGAGAAAGAGGATTGGGAGCCACATTGCAGGGAGTGCCCACACCACTAAGTAGGAGGGTCCGAATGTGGTAGGGGCAGGCCCCTCCCCTCAGGGAACCCTTCCCCACTCCTCCCTCATCCGGGCACCCACTGAAGTCCTCGGAGGAGGAGACGTAAGTGAGCACTAGCAATGCAAGGTTCTCCACGACATTGAGGCCGAAGTTGAGGCGGCAGAGCGGGCGATAGCAGGAACACGGGGAGGCGCAGCTGAGGTAGTGGTTCCAGTAGGCGAAGGCCACCAAGAAGCGAGGCGCCGAGTGCAGGCCGATGCAGAAACGCCACACGTAGCGCTGGGGCACCTCCCCGCCGATGGCCGAGCTCACCGAGGGCAGGTAATTGGGCACCTAGAGAGTTGTGACCTGTCTGGGCATCTGCCTCTGCCAGCCCTGCCCATGTGGAGAACCTTCTCTCCATCTAACAAAATCACTCTGGCCTCTGCTCCAGTCCCTCCCCTTCCAGGAAGTCCTCCTTCAGATGTCCCCACACCTCTCCCAAGGGACCTCTCCTTCCAGGTCCTAGGCCCAAAGTGCTGGATTCTCATTCCCCAGCTATCCTGGGATTGTGCAGGAGCATGGTGGGACCTTCTCCATCTCCCCTGCAGACTGGAACCTGCCTGTGTTTGGTCAGTGTGAAGATGGGTTCAGATGCCCTACACCCATAGCTCAGAGCTGTGCCTCCACTAAGACCCTGGGTGAGTTCAAAGACCTCAGATTCATTCTAGAGGACAGGGATGAGTCGCAGACTATCTGAGCTTCCTTAGAAAAGTGCTGGATTCACTGGTCAGCTAAGATGTTGCTCAGTCTGCTCCCAGCGCCATTGATTCCTCTAGGCAGGTGTGCCAAGGTGGTAGAATGGCAGCCCTGCTCTGATCATGATTAAGAAAGTGGGTGGGCTGGGCATGATGGCTCACACCTGTAATCCCAGCACTTTGGGAGGCCAAGATGGGTGGATCACCTGAGGTCAGGAGTTAAAGACTAGCCTGGCCAACACGTGAAACCCCGTTTCTTTTAAAAAAAAAAAAAAAACCGGGTGCGGTGGCTCACGCCTGTAATCCCAGCACTTTGGGAGGCCGAGGCGGGTGGATCACGAGGTCAGGAGATCGAGACCATCCTGGCTAACACGGTGAAACCCCGTCTCTACTAAAAATACAAAAAATTAGCCGGGCGTGGTGGTGGGCACCTGTAGTCCCAGCTACTCGGAGACAGAGGCAGGAGAATGGCGTGAACCCGGGAGCCGGAGCTTGCAGTGAACCGAGATCACGCCACTGTACTCCAGCCTGGGTGAGAAAGCGAGACTCTGTCTCGAAAGGAAAGAAAGGAAAGAGAGAAAGGAAAGAGAGAAAGAAAGAGAGAAAGAAAGAGAGAAAGAAAGAAAAGAAAGGAAAGAAAGGAAGGAAAAAAAGGAAAGAAAGGAAAGGAAAGAAAAAAGAAAGAAAGGAAAGAAAAGAAAGGAATGAAAGAAAAGAAAGAAAGGAAAGGAAAGAAGGAAAGGAAAGAAAAGAAAGAAAGAAAGAGAGAGAAAGAAAGAAAGAAGAAAGAAAGAAAAAAGAAAATGGGTGCTCCTAACCTGGGGTAGTCTAAGGAAATGACCATGTTCTCGTGCATCTCCACCATCCATCTTTCTCAATGCCTGGAACTCCTATTGAAGCCTCAGTCCTTAAAGCTGAGGAAAAAGGAGGAGATAATACACAGCTGCAGGGACTGGCGTCTTCCTTGTTTGAGAGGTGAAAGGATGGAGGATGACTGAACAATGGTTTAGACAGGGACAGGAAAGCCAAAGATGGGAAGAGGCTTTCTTAGACTTCAGGGCCTAAAGCAGTGCTTCACAAACTTTAATTACCCATACACCTCACTGGAGGAATTGTTTGAAATTGCAGAAGGCTTGGAACCTGAGGAGCTGCATTTTTAAATTTTTTCACTTTGTTTTCCCCCTTTTTGAGTCAGGGTCTCATTCTGTCACCCAGGCTGGAGTGCAGTAGCATGATCATGACTCACTGCAGCCTTGACCTCCTGGGCTCAGGAGATCCTCTCACTTCAGCCTCCTGAGTAGCAGGCTAATTTTTGTAGAGACAGGGTTTCATCATGTGTCCCATGATGGTCTCAAACTCCTGGGTTTAAGCTATCCATCTGCCTTGGCCTCCCAAAGTGCTGGGACTACAGGCATGAGCCACCTCACCTGGCCAGAATCTGTTTTTTGTTTTGTTTTGTTTTGAGACGGAGTCTCGCACTGTCACCCAGGCTGCAGTGCAGTGGCGTGATCTCAGCTCACTGCAACCTCCGCCTCCAGGGTTTACGCCATTCTCCTGCCTCAGCCTCCGGAGTAGCTGGGACTACAGGCGCCTGCCACCATGCCCGGCTAATTTTTTGTATTTTTAGTAGAGATGAGGTTTCACCGTGTTAGCCAGGATGGTCTCGATCTCCTGACCTCGTGATCTGCCCTCCTCAGCCTCCCTAAGTGCTGGGATTACAGGCGTGAGCCACCGTACCCAGCCGTTTTGTTTTTGTTTTTGTTTTGGACACAGGGTCTCACTTCGGTTGCCCAGGCTGGAGTGCCATAGCATGATCTCAGCTCACTATAGCCTCTACTTCCTGGGCTCAGGTAATTCTCCCACCTTAGCCTCCCAAGTAGCCACCACCATGCCTGGCTAATTTTTTGAGTTTTTTTGTTTTGTTTTGTTTTGTTTTGTTTTTTAGTAGCAACAGGGTTTTGCCATGTTGCCCAGGCTGGTCTAGAACTCCTGGACTCAAACAATCCACGGCTCTCGGCCTCTCAAAGTGTTGGGATTACAGGCATGAGCCAACACGCCAGGCCAGAATATGCTTTTTTTTTTTTTGAGATGGAGTCTCGCTCTGTTGCTCAGGTTGGAGTGTAGTGGCACGATCTTGGCTCACTGCAACCTCTGCCTCCTGCGGTTAAGCAATTATCCTGCCTCAGCCTCCTGAGTAGCTGGGATTACAGGCAGCTGCTGCCACGCCCAGGTAATGTTGTGTTTTTAGTAGAGATGGGGTTTCACCATGTTGGGCAGGCTGGTCTCGAACTCCTGACCGGTGATCCGCCTGCCTCGGCCTCCCAAAGTGCTGGGATTACAGGCGTGAGCTACCATGCCCAGCAAGAATATGCATTTTTAAAAGATTCCCAAACTGTGGAAATGTCTAGTCCATTGCCCACACTTTCTGTGCACTTTTGCAGACCTCCAAAGAGGGCCAGCACAGTGCCAGAGCCCAGTAACACAGCAAGGGAATGAACTTGCTCTAACTATGGAGGGACAGTCTTTGGAAGTGGAGTTCTGAAGGACCATCATTCCTTTCTTTTTTTTCTTTTTTTTTTTTTTTTGAGACGGAGTCTCGCTGTGCTTCCAGGCTGGAGTGCAGTGGCCTGATCTCGGCTCACTGCAAGCTCCGCCTCCCGGGTTCACGCCATTCTCCCGCCTCAGCCTCCCAAGTAGCTGAGACTACAGGCGCCCGCCACCACGCCCGGCTAGTTTTTTGTATTTTTAGTAGAGACGGGGTTTCACCATGTTAGCCAGGATAGTCTCGATCTCCTGACCTCGTGATCCACCCGCCTCGGCCTCCCAAAGTGCTGGGATTACAGGCTTGAGCCACCGCGCCCGGCCCCATCATTCCTTTCTTTCAACGAGATGCTAGACTGCTGAGAAGGTGAGCAATGCTGCAGGCAGCTCACAGGGCAACCCACAGGTAGGCCTGGGGCAAGACTAGACAGGGGGCTTCACAGCCTCCACAAAAAAGGAGATGGATTCCCCTCTGCACTGTCAGAGGAAGCTAAATGCAGAGCTCTGGCAGAGAAGATGCTGGCCTCAAAGCCATAGCTTAAGATATCATAGCTTGAGACCAGGCTCAGACATGCACTCTGAGTAATGTGAGGGGGCAGCGTAGAGGCTCAGGAACTGCACAAAGCTGAGTCTGCACCCCAGCTCTGCCTTTATTAGCTGGGTGACCTTGAGCAAGTCACTTCACCTCTCTGAGCTCCAATTTCCTCATTGGTAAAATGGATATAACACCACCTACCTTGCAGGGTGTTTATGAATTCTCTTTATTTATTTATTTTTTTGAGACAGGGTCTCGCTGTGTTGCCCAGGCTGGAGTACATTGGCGTAATCTCGGCTCATTGCAACCTCCACCTCCCAGGTTCAAGCGATTCTCGTGCCTCAGCCTGCCAAGTAGCTAGGACTAGAGGTGCCACCACTCCCAGCTAACTTTTTTTTTTTGACATGGAGTTTCACTCTTGTTGCCCAGGCTGGAGTGCAGTGGTGTGGCCTCAACTCACTGCAAACTCCACCTCCCAGGTTCAAGCAATTCTCCTGCCTCAGCCTCCTGAGTAGCTGGGATTACAGGCACCCGGCCTCTAATTTTTGTATTTTTAGTAGAGATGGGGTTTCACCATGTTGGCTAGGCTGGTCTTGATCTCCTGACTAAGTGATTCGCCTGCCAAGGTGCTGGGATTACAGGTGTGAGCCAACATGCCCAGCCATATGAATTATAAATATAACATGTATAAAACATCTGCAGTATCTGGCATGCAGTAAGTACAATAAGTGATGGTTTTCAGAAGACAAAATTTCCTGTAAAGAATGCAAAAACGCTGTGACCTACATGGCCACAGAGCATGGGAAGGTCTGCTTATGGGTGAGAGGCAGGAACCTCCAAGTTTCCTTACTAGATTTTTCTGTGTTGAGTTACTCTGAGTTGGGTTAGTCAGAGTGTTGCCTCTGCTTCCTGGAATATTAATTCTGAAAACTACTCCCCAATCTCAACTATAAGGAAAACAGGACCACCATTTAAAGCTTGACTGGGAGAGCCTAAAGGATTCAAGGGCCCTGAACCCTGACCACTGTTGGGAATGGGTATTGGGGAGAAACAATACAGGGTTTGGGGAAGGCCTCAGAAGGAAATGAGAGTTAGGGCATTGTGGCTGCTGGTCCTGTCTTAATGAGCTTCTCTCAGATTAGGGATGGGGGTGGGATTCTAAGAGCCAGGACTGTCTCTTCCATCACATACACACACACGCACACATACACACAGACACATACATATAATCAGGTACATGTACTCCTACCCCCAGCCCCATTCCCAGCACACAAGTTCCCCACTCACCGACTGCACCAGCAACAAGCAACATCAGGAGCTATGAAAAACCAGGTACACAGCTCACCCCAAACTTCCCCATGTGCCCAGAGCTAAGAGTACTGAGAGACAGGAGGATAAGCCCTTTCTGATAGGACAGTAGATCAGAAACTCATATGGTATAAAGACAGGGTTCCCCAAAATCCCCTTTCACAGCACCTCACATTTCACCATGAGATTCATTCCTTTGGCCTCAGGTAAAAGTCCCCCCACATTATAGATGCCTTCTCTAGCTACCCTACTGTCCCCCGCCCCATGCCAACTGCACAAAAACTCCAATTGCTGTCAATCCCACTTTCTACACCTCTCTGGACTCCATCCCTCCTCTCTATCCTCACAGTATGCATCTTAGCTCTGGTTCCCCCAGTAGCATGAGCTACTGCACTAGCCTCCTTATACCCTAGTCTTGCCCCTGCCCTTAAAGCTGTTCTCCACTCAGAAGCTAGAATGGTCTTCTAAAGCACAAACCTCCAGCCTAAATAACATGGCAAAACCGCATCTCTACAAAAAATATAAAAATTAGCCAGGCATGGTGGCATGCACCTGTAGTCCCAGCTACCCAAGGCTGAGGCTGAGGTGAGGAATCACCTGAGCCCAGGAGGTCAAGGCTGCAATAAGTCAAGATCAGGTCACTATAATCCAGCCTGGGAGACAGAGTGAGATCCTGTCTCTAAATAATTAAATACATAAAGCACAAATCTGATCATGTCCCTTTTCTGCCTAAAATCCTTCCAAAGCTCTTGATAAAAATTGCCCTCTGGATAATATCAAAAGTTGTCAGCCTGGCATTCACAAAAAGCCTTCTTTACCACAGAGCAACAATGTCCCCTCCTCCAAGAAGAAAGTGATCCCCAGTTTCGAAGCTGGGTGAAGTGCCTCCTCTGAGCCCCAGTCACTGTACTCTTTTTTATCATAATAGGAACCCCAGGTCACTGTGTTGTGACAGTCTGTGTCTAAGGACTGACTCTCGTAACAGTGAGATGTTAAGGGCAAGTCCATATCTAATTCCATGCCCCTAGCACAGAACCTTTATCCCTGGGTCCCCAGGAAAGACCTAGTGGACTGATTCTGGGAGACAGAAGTCCATCCAGGTTTCTGGCTGGCAGATCCTGTGTGGACACAGGTTGTGGGGCCCGGGGCTGCCAGTCGGAAAAACAAAGCTTGAGGATCCAGATCAGAGCTGAGGATGGATCCTCCAAGGTCAGTCCCTGAGTCTGGGCCAAAGCCACTTGTTACATCTCCCATCTTCTGGTCTCACTTTACCTCCTCAGTCCTGGCTTCCTTTCCAATCTGTCTCCTTCCTCTCATGATCTCTCCTGCCCACTCCAAACCCTTCCCTTCCCCCATCACCTCCCTCTAACCCCCCACTCCCTTGCACTGTTATTGTTTTTTGTTTTTTTGGCACAATCTCGGCTCACTGCAACCTCCGCCTCCAGGGTTCAAGCAATTCTCTTGCCTCAAGCCTCCTGAGTAGCTGGGATTACAGGCACACATCACCATGCCCAGCTAATTTTTTTGTATTTTTTTAGTAGAGACAGGGTTTCACCATGTTGGCCAGGATAGTCTCAATCTCATGACCTCGTGATCCGCCCGCCTTGGTCTCCCAAAGTGCTGGGATTACAGGCACCTGCCATGCCCAGCTAATTTTTTTGTATTTTTTTAGTAGAGACAGGGTTTCACCATGTTGGCCACACTGGTCTCAAACTCCTGACCTCAGGTGATCCTCCTGCCTTGGCCTCCCAAAGTGCTGGGATTATAGGCATGAGCCACAGTGTAGAGCCTGCTGGTTTTTTTTATTTTGTTTTGTTTTTGAGACAGGGTTTTACTGCTGTCACCCAGGCTGGACTATAATGGCGTGATCTCAGCTCACTGAAACATCCACTTCCCAGCCTCAAGCAATTCTCCTGCCTTAGCCTCCCAAGTAGCTGGGACTACAGGGGCATGCCAGGGCACCCAGCTAATTTTTTTGCATTTTTTTATACAGATGGGGTTTCACCATGTTGCCCAGGCTGGTCTCGAACTGAACTCAAGCGATCCACTGGCTTCGCCCTCCCAAGGTGCTGAGATTACAGGTGTGAGCCACTGCGCCCGGCATCTCCCTTGTATTTCTATCATCATCTTCCAACTCAGGGAGGACTGTGATTCTATTCTGTCTGAGTCTCCCCCCATGAATTCTCTCTGACTCTGACTTACCTACCCTTCCCCATCCCCTTGTCCTTTTCCCTCTCTCTGACCCTCCACTTGCTCTCCACTATCTAATTCTACCCTAACTGCCACCTCCTGACCTGGTCCTGACCCAGGGGCTGGGGAGCTGGCACTCACCCCACAGTCAGTGGCCACTGTGTACTCAAAGTGGAACACCAGGGACCAGATGATGCAGAAGAAGAAGCCGAACACAGGAAAAGTGATGACCCACCAGACCATGGCCGTGAAGCGAAGCCGGAACAAGGTCCCATCGGGGTCCAAAGGCTGGGAGGCCGCAGAGAACATCCTGTAGGGCGAGGCCTAAGCAGCACGAGGGATACAACTTGGGGCCTGGTGGGATACCTGGGCCTAGGAAAGTGGGGCCTTTTCCAGAGATGGCTCCTTAGAGTATAAGGAAAAGCCAGAGCAGAAAGGGTAGAAAAGGCCTAAGGGAAAAAGGAAGACAGTGCAGAGGAGAAGAAACAGAGGGAGATGGGACAGGAGCAGCAGAGACAGGCAGGGTCAGAGCCTAGGAATCCCCTTGGCACACTGATACTCTAGGTCCACCTCTTGAAGAGCCTACAGAAGAGAGGCTCCCGGTGGCTTGGACAGGGAGCTCTGGTGGCCCACTTCACTCTCACAACCCTCATAGCCACTCAGGAGAAGGGTCAGAGGTAGAAAGGTTATTATTCTCATTCCACAGAAGGGGAGACTGAGGCCCAGAACTATGCCAGGATCAAACACCAGGACTAAGGCCTCTTGCCACCTGACAGCTTCAGGTTCTAAGTCAAGACTTCTTTCAGGCCAGCTAACAAAGGGCCGTTGGCTCAGAAAGGCCAAAGCGCTCCTACTGACCCTGTCTGACCACATTCCTGCTCCTTGCCCAAGTTCAACTAGGAACATAGGGAGTGCCCCAGAACCTATTTCAATGGGGACACAGGCTGCCAGCCATCCCACCCCCAGGCTCTGAATGATCCAAGCCTCAGGCCAGTGGTACCCTGAACCTAAAATACCAGGTCCCTGTGGAGGCCCAGACCTACATCTCCTCCCTATCTGAGGAGACACAATGTCACCCAATCCAAGATTTGGGGGAATCTGAGGGTCATGGAAACCTTCTCTGCTGAGCTTCAGCCTGAAGTCCTGGGCCAGACCCAGGAGGCCTCTGTCCAGATCAGACCCAGACCCAGGGAACTGAGCTTCTTCCAATCCCTTCCCCCTCCTGGCAGACAACTCCCCCTCACAACCCCACTGCCCAACCACTTTGACCCCTCAAGCTGGGCTTCCCTCTGGATCAAGCTGGGGCAGACGGAGATGGCTTAATATTAAAAGGCCTAGGACCCTATCTCCCCTTGGGACTCATACTTCCCTCCACTAAGGAGACCCAGGAATGGGGTCGGGGTGGGGGCCTCACGAAGCAACACTCACACTCGGTGCTGAAGAATCTGGGTCTTGGGTTGAAGGTTGTAGCCAGACTGGGACTATTCTAAGACTGGAGGGTCCCACCCCCTGCTCCTCAGGGCCTGCCCTCCTGCCCACAGTACTCAATTCTCCACGCCTGCCCAGGCACACATCCTTCCCAGGATCAACAAGCATATGTCATAAATCCTAGAACACTGTGCAAAGGTAAGATGTGATAGTGGCTGAGGTCAGCTGGCAGTAGCTTCTTTGCCAGTGATGGGGGCAGGGACCTTTCCGAGAGTTGTGTCCAGGGACGCAGGCAGGTTTCCAATAAGGTAAAGAGAGAAAGCAAAGAGGGATCTGGCCCTTTTCTGTTAGAGCAGGACTGAGAAGGCTTGTTGGGCCTCACTGGAGAAATGGCTAAATCCTATGATGATAGAAGCAGGATACAAAAGAGATCTCGACAAGCCTAAATATGAGATAGAAATGTTCAGCCTGCACCTGTGCAGAAACAGCTAATGGCAGCTCAGACTGCATCAACAGAGGTCTAACAGAAAGGAATAAGAATGAATAGTCCTGAGGCCGGGCGCGGTGGCTCAAGCCTGTAATCCCGGCACTTTGGGAGGCCGAGACGGGCGGATCACAAGGTCAGGAGATCGAGACCATCCTGGCTAACCCGGTGAAAGCCCGTCTCTACTAAAAATACCAAAAAAACTAACAGCCGGGCGATTGCGTGGCGGTGGGCTGCCCGTGGTAGTCGCAAGCTAACTCGGGGGAGGGCGAGGCCGGGAGTGAGAAGTGGGGGTAAACCTGTGGAGGCTGGAGCTTGCAGTGAGCTGAGATCCGCCACTGCACTCCAGCCTGGGTGACAGAGCAAGGACTCCGTCTCAAAAAAAAAAAAAAAAAGTTAATAGTCCTGCTTTTGCCTGTACTGCCCAGGCCACCTAGAGTCCATACCCAAATCAAGGCCCGTAGAGGAATAGTGACCAAACTGAGTCAAGCTCAAGGGTACATTCAGGATAGGGAAAAGCCCTAGAAACCAGTCCTGGGAAGGTTGCCTGAAGGAACTGGATTGCTGAGCTCAGGAGTTCAAGACCAGCCTGGGTTAACACAGTGAAACCCCGTCTCTACTAAAATACAAAAGTTAGCCGAGCATGGTGGCATGCACCTGTAATCCCAGCTACTCGGGAGCCTGAAACAGGAGAATCTCTTGAACCTGAGAGAAGGTTGCAGTGAGCCGAGATCACGCCATTGCACTCCAGCCTGGGTGACAGAGGCAAGACTCTGTCTGAGGAAAAAAAAAAAAAAAAGAGATAGACTCGAGGCCCCTCATTACTGTCTTCTTGTCTCTGCAGGGCTGACCTAAAGCCATGAGGAGAGAATAGTTCTACAGCTATCAATAGAAGAGCCAGGGCCAAGGCAGAGACTCACGGGAAAGTAGGTACATACTCACTATAAGTAAAAGCCTCAGCCTGGCCAAGATAGTGAAACCCGTCTTTACTAAAAATACAAAAAATGAGCCGGGTTGTGGTGCTGCATACCTGTAATCTCAGCTACTCTGGAGGCTGAGGCATAAGAATGGTTTGAACCCAGGAGGCAGAGGTTGCAGTGAGCTCGAGATCGTGCCACTGCACTCCAGCCTGGGCAACAGAGCAAGACCCTGCCTCAAAAAAAAAAAAGAAAGAAAGAAAGAAAAAGCTTGGGCTAGGCACAGTGGCTCAAGCCTGTAATCCTAGCACTCTGGAAGGCTGAGGCAGGAGGATCACTTGAGCTCTGGAGTTCAAGACCAGCCTGGGCAACATAGTGAGACCCTATCTCTCTTTAAAAAGAAAGAAAGAAAGAAAAAGAAAAGAAAAAAAAAAAAAAAAGGCTGAGCACGGTGGCTCGCGCCTTTAATCCTAGCACTTTGGGAGGCCAAGGCAGGTGGATCACCTGAGGTCAGGAGTTTGAGACCAGCCTGCGCAACATGGTGAAAACCCCATCAATACCAAAAATACAAAAATAGCCAGGTGTGGTGGCGGGTGCCTGTAATCCCAGCTACTCGGAGGCTGAGACAGGAGAATCACTTGAACCCAAGAGTGGAGGCTGCAGTGAGCCGAAATCATGCCACTGCACTCAAGCCTGGGCAACAGAGTGAGACTCTGTCTCAGTAAAAAAAAAAAAAAAGAAAAGAAAAAGGCTAATTACTAGTTATTAAGCTTCCTTAGAACAGGCTACCTGGGGAGGAAGGAAGCTCCCCATCACTGGGGATCTGTGAGCAGAGGCAAAGTAATCAATTATAGATATGATGGACTGGCTTGCTTCTTTTATTCCTAGGGCTGGCCATTTCTGAGATACTCTGAGTAGGAAATGCAGAGCAAATATAAAAATTCCAAGGTGGAACCAACACCCTAGTCTCAGGGAGTGGGGACAACATACCCTCAGGGTCACAGACCTAGTACTGCTCCAGAGGGACCAAGTACTCCAGCAACTATCTATGTCTTAATTCCCTAACTGGTATACCAAGAGCAGGTAATAGGCATGCAAGGTATGTAGTAACCTAGCTAATAAACCAAGGCTATTGATGCCATTAGCCCTTGGAGTCAGCCACAAGGGGCAGAGCAAATAGCCTAGACTGTTTAACTCCATATGCCATACAAATACTATAATTTTGCTTGGACTATGATTGACTTATACCATGCCTTCCTTTCCCCAGGGCACTGGGCTAGAGAGTCCTAATAATTTATTCAACCAACACTTTCTGGCCAGGCACAGTGGCTCATGCCTATAATCTCAGTGCTTTGGGAGGATTGCTTGAGGTCAGGAGTTCAAGACCAGCCTGGGCAACAGTGTGAGACCCCATCTCCACACACATACACAAAAATTAGCTGAGCATGGTTGTGCATACCTATTGTCCTAGCTACTCAGGAGGCTGAGGCAGGAGGATTACTTGTTCCCTGGTGGTTGAGGCTGCAGTGAGCTATGATCATGCCACTGCACTCCAGCCTAGGCAACATGGCGAGACCCCATCTCCACAATTTTTTTTTTTTTAATTAAGCTGGGTGTGGTGGCTCACACCTGTAGTCCTAGCTACTCAGGAGGCTGAGGTTAGGAAGACTGCTTGATCCCAGGAGTTTGAGGCTGCAGTGAGCTATGATATGCCACTGCACTCTGGCCTGGGCGACAGAATGAGACCCTGCCTCTAAAACAAACCAAAAAAAACCCCAAATACTTTCTCACTCAAATGCAGTGCCCACCCTCAAGGAGATTCCCATCTGGTGGGGAAGACAGATACAAATATTATGTGATAGATAACACAGGGAACTGTGGGCACCCAGAGGAGACAGTGATTAAGTTAGCCACAAGTAGGATAGGGAAGACATTTTAGAGCTAGCTGGGCAGGGTTTTGCAGGATGATCAGGAGTGGCTAGCGTAACAGGAACATCTGATGCATTATCTGAGATAAGCACTAGGTCAGGAAAGGGTAATCCTTCCCTTCAGATTACCTGTTCGCCCTTTTCTTTCAGTTCTTTCTAATAGCTCCCAGCCCCAGGTCTCATCAGATTGGGTGTCCATACCTCAACACCCATGTCTACCCACTGACAAATCAGGAGGAGCAGAAACTCCAGTCACATAAAGAAAAGAAGTGAGGCTCCACCCCATACTCGCAGCTAGACCACACTGCTAATCCTAGTCATTTCTCTGAAGCAGATGCTCTTTTTTTTTTTTTTTTTTTTTTTTTGAGACGGAGTCTCGCTCTGTCACCCAGGCTGGAGTGCAGTGGCCAGATCTCAGCTCACTGCAAGCTCCGCCTCCCGGGTTCACGCCATTCTCCTGCCTCAGCCTCCCGAGTAGCTGGGGTTATAGGCGCCTGCCACCTTGCCTGGCTAAGTTTTTGTATTTTTAGTAGAGACGGGGTTTCACTGTGTTAGCCAGGATGGTCTCGATCTCCTGATCTCGTGATCCGCCCGTCTCGGCCTCCCAAAGTGCTGGGATTACAGGCTTGAGCCACCGCGCCCGGCCAAGCAGATGCTCTTTACATGAAGGGGAGATCCAGCTGGCTGGGGCCTTCAGAACTCTGAGGGACCCCAAAGATGCATATGCAGAACCTGCCTCTTCTCCATCTACAGCCCCTAGGCTAAGTTCATTTCCTGCCCTGCCTTCCAACCTGACAGTCTCTTCCGCCTCCTCCTTCTTCTGCTCCTCACACTTCATCATCCTCCCTAAACTACCTTCTCATCCTTCTTTACCTAGAGCTCTACACTAGACCTGGGAAGGAGCAGGACAGGAATTATCAACCCTATTTTATTTTTTGGAGATGGGAGTCTCACTGTCACCAGGCTGAAGTACAGTCAGACAACCATAGCTCACTGCAGCCTCAGACTTCTAGGCTCAAGCAATCCTCCCACCTCAGGCTCCCAAGGAGCTAGGACTACAGGTGCACACCCCCATGCCCAGCTAATCCATTATATTTCAGACATGAGGAAACTGAGGCTGGGTCTCTGTCTCAGGTAATAAAGAGTCAGTAAATGAATTACAAGTATAACAGAGTTTGACACATGTCCCACCCCATTTACTTTGATATCCTAGAGAAAGTAGTCTTACATCTTTCTTCCTGGCCCCGCGCCCCATATCCCTGTCCAGAGGGTACACAGACATCTATGGAACCTTAGAGGCCATGGGACTCACCCCAAGACACATACACTATTACATAATCAGATCTCCATACAGACAGGCACAGATATAGTCTCTCTCACATACAACCCACTCAAACAGTCATGACCCTCACAATCACACACACGTATACTGAATTACATTCCTACAGACAGGCAGAAGCCCATAGTGGTACATTAAGAGGCCCAAAATACTCGCTAGCCCAATCCTGTTCTCTCTCCACTTCTCAGAAAACCCTGGGGTTCCAGAATCTGCTCTTCTATGAAGTAAGGATTTGATTCTAGGTCTGCCCTCTGGACAGGGATATGGGGCGTGGGGCAGGAAGAAAGATGTGAGACTACTTTCTCTAGGATATCAAAGTAAATGGGGTGGGACATGTGTCAAACTCTGTTATAATTCATTTACTGACTCTATATTACACTTCAGTGACTCCAGCCTCCAGAACCTCACAGAAGGCGGAGGGAGACTAACCCTTGAGATTTCAATTTGCAGGCAGCCCCCCAGCAGCCCCATATGTTTGATAGGCCCCAATGGAGAGCTGGCTAATCTTGTTAAAAGATATTCAAGATCTAAAGAAGATCCAGATCGGCCTGAATATGAGGTATCAGTGTCCCCATGCCCTACCCCACAGTGTGTGGCCGTTGTCTCCTTGAAGTGGAAGAGCAGGGACCAGAGGATGCAGAAGAGGAAGGCGACAAGTGGACAGCAGACTGTGACCAGGGCCACCATGGTGAAGCGGAGCCGTACCAAGGTCCCATCCCGATCCAGTGGCAGTGGGACCTGGTACATCTTGTCAGACCTGGGGATGGAGTGGCATGCTGTCAGGGCCCCAGGCAGCAAGGCTGGGACTCAGTGATGAAGTCAGCCCTTGTGCTCAGTCCTAAAATTAGCTGTGTGCCATGGGGTGGGGAGTATGAGGAGGAAGTTGCCTAAACTTGGATAGCTCCTGCCCTGGATGAGGAAGACTGACTCAGAATTGAAAGACAACATTCCACCTCAATTTCAGCGGGAAGACAATGAACCAAATCTGTGCTAGGATAAAGCTTGAATGGATTGGGAGAGCTTCTCCTCACTCCTCTCTGCCTAGCTTGACAGGCCTAGGACTAGAGAAGTTGCTTTAAGTATCTCTACTTATTTCAAGAACCAACCCTAAAACCTACCAGTGGATGGAATGGCCCATCTCCTCCCCCAGGTCTTTGAGCCTCAGGCCCAGCCTCCAGGCTTCAAGGCCTGTCATCAGCTCTCATTGCTTCCCCACTGGCCCAGGGCCCTCCCACACCTTCAGTCCCTTCCCAGGCTCTGTGTGCTCTGTGTGCCTGCACCGCAGTCCACAGCGGCAGGGATTCCATGGAAGCTGACAGAAACCCGAGCCCTCTGCTTGTCCCAACCTGCTCTCTCACGTGCCCCGAGAATGAAAGGCTTTGCAGAATCAGGTCTGGTGCTAGCCTGGGCTTGCTGTTTGCTGGAGAGAGCTGCTTGGTCAGCTTCTGGAGGCTCCCCAGTGCCCAGGGGGCTGTCCACACCACCCTCCTGTGAACAGATGAGGGTTCCTAGGGACTGTGATTTCCCCCTTAGATAAGGGTAGCTAAGGTCAGGAACTATAACAAATAAGTGTATACCAACAATCCTAGCTCAGCTCCCCACAGTGTACAGAAGGGAAAGTTAGGGCAGGAATCTTCTCAGGATCACATAACAAAGAGATACATGTGGGACCCACAAAAAGTTACACACTGCAACTCTGGCCTTCCTTGACCCCTTCCTCTCTGGGTCTGAGCTTGAGACAGAAAGGTCAGGTTAGGACTGGAGTGAGAGAGGCAGAAGAGGCGCCTGTTCACAGGAGGAAAAAAAGGAAAAACCAAATTCTACATAGATGAGGCAGTTAGCCCTATTCCCATTGTAAAGATAGAGAAACCAAGACACTCAGAGAGAGAGAAAGGTTCTTCCTCAAAGCCCTATGCTGAGTTGGAGAGAAAGCCATCCCTGGAATGCTGGCTGCTTGTTGCCAAGCTAGGGCTGGCTCCAGACACATAAAGAATACACCCTTCTGGGCTCAAAGGCCTTGTCAAATCAAGTCCCAACTCTTCCTGGCCCCACCCACAAGACTCTCCCTTTAGTCCCACCCTCAAAAAGAACCTTGATCTCAGTTAGGTTGGCATCCTGGCATTCCAGAACGAGCCAGGTGGCTACGCCTCCACATTCTCACCCATTTTCCCCCAGCTGCCAGGCCTGATCAGGCAGCCTGCTCCAATTGCTCAAGTTCCTCTCTCCCTTTTAGGAGCATCAGGGATCTCCCCAGGGAGCTGGAAGTGGCTCTGGTGACCCTCCCAGGAAAAAAAAAAACATTCCCTGGATCATCCCTAAATGGACTCTGAGTCCCTTAAGGCCCTAGATGGGGAACATCTTGCTCACTCAGCCCAAAACTAGACTCTGAAGTTGCAGTAGCACTAGTCTTCCCTCCCAACATCCATCCCTGAAGCTTGCAGCTCTAGATCTCTGAGGAACCACTAGGATTCCCAAATTGAAAACTAGATCTTCAGGGAATGAAGAGGCACTGCCCAAATCAGGAGTTGAGGAGGAGGTTCAAGGGACAGTCCATTCCAATTCTTGGAGGTATGCCTGGCCTCCCATTTAGCTGTGTGACCTTTGGCAAGCCACTTAACCACTCTAGATCTGTTTCCACAGTTCGGCAACATGGGAATCACAGGGTTTAGATTACCTCTAAGGTCCTTCCAACTTGGTCATTCTACTCCACACCTCACGGTGGAGCTGAAGGGCAATTGTTCAGTCTGCAGACAGCTCTACATTCCTCACAGGTACTACTTAGCTGAAAATCGCTTTCTTTGGAGCTACCTCAGCTCCAAAGTCCCTAGAGATGTTCTCAGCCTGGAGTCTGAACCCACATTTACTGAGTGCCTACGGAATACTAGGCTCCCTGCTCTGTACTTGATACACATTGTCTCTTTTAATCCTCACCATAATTCTATGAGGTAGGTGCTACAGCCTGTATATTTCCATTTTACAGATGAGGAAACTGAGGCTCAGGGAGGTTCAAAACACTCAAGGCCAAGGCTAATAAATGGCAGAGCTGCCATTCAAAACTAGTCTATGGGGTTCCAACCCTGGGGCCCCATCCTCCCCACCTAGGGCTCCTGACCAGGAGGCCCCATGGAATAAAGAAGGGAAAGCTCAACCCCTGCACACCCGGCCCCATGCTGGGGAGGGAGAAGACGGGGGCCAGCTCGGCAAGTCCAGACAGCAGCAGTTCCTGGGAAAGAGAGTGTGTGCGATAGCAGGGCAGGCACCAGGACTCCCAGAGCGTGGGGCCCGGCCCTGCAGAGGCCGGATCGCGCGGCCAAGCTCCCCTGAGTGGGGCTGCCCGGCAGCCCAGCACACCCATGCGCATACTCACCCACGCGGTGGTGGCCAGATTGCCGGCGGAACCCTGGGGCCCAGGCGGCCCGGGGTCGGGGGCTGACTCTGCGGGCTGGTCAGAGCGCGAACGGCGGGGGCGGGGCCGGCGCTCTCGGGGCGGAACTTAGAGAGGAAACTGCGCCCAGATCCTCCGGTGGCTCCTCCCCGCTTCTGGAGACCCCGACCCGTGGCTCTGCCCCTCAATCTGGTGTATCCTCAAACTATGCTTTACAGCCCGGGACTGCCCCCACTAATTTCGGCTGCGTGCGGGCAGCCGTAAGAGCTCTGGATACCTGAGTTTAGCATGTTAGATAAGCCACCTTGTCGCCTTACCTCTCAGCTGCGTTCCATCACCTGTTGAAAGAACACAAAATTAATTCAACAGGGGCCAGATTTCTTTCTCATCCGCCCGTCTCTCCTGCCCCGCACCTCCATTCTAACCGAATAATCCAGCCTCGCCCTTCTGAAACATTAAGCCAGTTTCCTCCCAGCCTTAGCGCCCCTCCCCCAAACTTTGCTCGCCAGGATGGTTGGGGACATTTCAGCAATGGTCATAGCACCTTTGCAGGCAATGAGAGCCGGTAAGGCACATCCCAGAAAGTCTGGCCTAGTGCTGTTCCCCCCTTTGTTCAGGAGAGGGCGCCCTGTTCTGTGTACAGCGCAGAAAGAGGATCTCCGGCCACCAGCCTTAGGTCTCTCCACAATGAGAGGACTGATCCCCAAAAACCAACTGCCAGAGTTCCCTCCCTACCCTGACCATGACTGACCCATAAAAGAACTTGAGGGGGACCCCTGGCTCCCTTTGCAAAGACCATCTACCCCAACGGGAAAGGAGGGTGAAGAGACCAAGCATCTCTCCTGCAAGGGCACGGGGGTAGTCAGAGCATCTGCAGCGAGTGGAGGACCTCTAAGCTAGTCACAGCTAACATCGCACTTTTCCACTTAAATCTTTAGCAATAACACATTCTGAGCACGCAGTATGTCCCAGGCACTCTTACTTTTTATGTTATCTCATTTATTTAATCCTCATAAAACCCCTGTGAGGGCCGGGTGGCTCACGCCTGTAATCCCAGCACTTTAGGAGGCCGAGGCGGGTGGATCACCTAGGGTCAGGGGTTTGACACCAGCCTGGCCAACATGGCGAAACCCCGTCTCTACTGAAAATACAAAAATTAGCCGGGCGCGGTGGCGGGCGCCTGTAATCCCAGCTACTTGGGAGGGTGAGGCAGGAGAATCGCTTGAACCTGAACCCGGGAGGCGGAGGTTGCAGGGAGCCGAGATTGCGCCACTGCACTCAAGCCTGGGCGACAAGAGCGAAACTCCGTCTAAAAAAAAAACAACAACAACACTAAAAAACAAACCTGTGAAAATAGATACGATCTCGGCTCACCGCATCCTCCGCCTCCAGGGTTCAAGCGATTCTCCTGCCTCAGCCTCCCGAGTAGCTGGGATTACAGGCGCCTGCTACCGCGCCCGGCTAATTTTTGTAGTTTTTAGTAGAGACGGGGTTTTGCCTTCTTGGCCAGGCTGGTGACCTGACCTCGTGATCTGCCCCCACTTTGGCTTCCGAGTGTTGGAATTACAGGCGTTAGCCACCGTGCCTGGTCTTGTCTTTTTCTTTTTTTTTTTCTTTTGAGACAGAGTCTCACTCTGTCACCCAGGCTGGAGTGCAGTGCCACAATCTCGGCTCACTGCAACCTCCACCTCCCAGGTTCAAGCGATTCTCCTATCTCAGCCTCCCAGGTAGCTGGGACTACAGGCGGCACCACCATGCCCAGCTAATTTTTGTACTTTTAGTAGACATGGGGTTTCACCACACTGGTCAGGCTGGTCACAAATTCCTGACCTCAGGTGATCCACCCACCTTGGCCTCCCAAAGTGCTGGGATTACAGGTGAGGGCCCCCGCCAGTGGATACTATTTAATATCCTCATTTTACCAATGGAAAACAGGGAAACCAAGTTACCTACTTACACAGCTAATAAATGCTAGAACCAGGACTCAAGTCTGGTACCTGAGATAATTCCCATAATCCACTATATGCTGTTAATGCCACTTAGCATTTGGTGGTTAATTTGCCAGAGCTCTTTTTCGTGCGTTCACTTTGGTTCATTCACCCAGCCTAGGCCCTCTCTTTGACAGGCCTCATGTGGAGCAATGCTGGAGGACCCAGAGATACCTCAGACACACTCTGAGGGGCTCTGAAGTCTGGAGAGAGTGCACACTCAGAGTGTCTTATTCTAAAAACTACTTTTCTTGATTTTGAATTCTCCCCTATCCTGTTCTTTAAGGTGCCAGGACAAATGGACTAGTAAAACTTTACAAAAAGAACCACCTCCCTCCAATTATGGCAACTAGATTCAGGTTTTCTGCCTTGGGGCTTCACGTCATCCTCTTCCTCTAGCTCCAACCAGGGGTGTCTGCTCCTGGCCATTGTTCCCTTTCTTGACACCTTGTCTGTTCTCTTGGCCCTAAGTACCATTCCCTGAGCTGGGTCCCCTTTTCCTGCCTCTAGACTACCCCCAATGCCCAAACCTTGAGGTGCTCTAATTTAGATTAATTCTTTAATTTTCTGGTGATTTGGGAAATATGGGCAATTCACCATACAGCCCTGAGCCTCTGTTTCCTTGTCTTTAAAATGATTTATTTAAAACAAGCTCTCGCCGGGTACGGTGGCTCAGGCCTGTAATCCCAGCATTTTGGGAGGCCAAGGTGGGTGGATCACAAGGTCAAGAGATTGAGTCCATCCTGGCCAACATGATGAAACCCTGTCTCTACTAAAAATATAAAAATTAGCTGGACGTTTTGGTGTGTGCCTGTAGTCCCAGCTACTTGGGAGGCTGAGGCAGGAGAATCACCTGAACCCAGGAGGCAGAGGTTACAGTGAGCCGAGATCGCGCCGCTGCGACAGAGCAAGACTGTGTCTCAAAAAAAAAAAGGTCTCACTGTCTTCACTGTCTTGTCTAGGCTGTTCTTGAACTCATAGGCTCAAGCGATCCTCCTTCCTTGGCCTCCCAAAGTGCTGGTATTACAGGCGTAAGCCACTGTGCCCAGCCTGTAAAACTGATTTAGGAATATCCACACTGGGTGTGGTGGTTTACAGCAATTTAGGAGACCAAGGCAGGAGGATCACTTGAGCCCAGGAGTTCAAGATCAGCCTAGGCAACATGGTGAATCCGTCTCTACCAAAAGATACAAAAAATTAGCCGCGTGTGGTGGCACATACTTGTACTCCCAGCTACTCAGGAAACTGAGGTGGGAGGATTGCTTGAACTCTGGAGGCAGAGGTTGCAGTCAACTGAGATCATACCACTCCACAATAGCCTGAGTGACAGAGCAAGACCCTGTCTCAAAAAAAAAAAAAAAAAAAAAAAGGAATATCCACATCATAGGGTTGTTGTATTAAAGGTAATTTAGCAGTGTGCCAGGCATGTAGAAGGTACTCAATACATGATGGTCATTATGATTAGACATGTCAGCTACAGTCTGAACTTGTCCTGAGCTTTTTCTGTATTGTCTGACCTTGGCTGTCATGGACCATCTCTGAATCTCTTTATTTCACTGTCAATTTGAAAGACCCTGTCTACCTTGATTTACATGAGGGAAGATAAAAGAAATAAAAGGAGTTCTTGGGCCAGATGCCGTGGCTCACGCCTGTAATCCCAGCACTTTGGGAGGCTGAGGTGAGCAGATCACCTGAGGTCAGGAGTTCGAGACCAGCCTGGTCAACATGGCAAAACCACATCTCTACTAAAAATACAAAATTTAGCCAGGCCTGGTGGCAGGTGCCTGTAATCCCCGCTACTTGGGAGGCTAAGGCAGGAGAATCGCTTGAACCCAGGAGGCAGAGGTTGCAGTGAGCCAAGATTGCGCCACTGCCCTCCAGCCTGGGCGATAGAGTGAGACTCCACCTCAAAAAAATAAATAAATACAAATTAAAAATAAAAATACAAAAAGAAAAAAAAATATTCGTTGGATTGATTTAATAGAACTGGGTTCTGAAGAATGGGCAGTATTTAGACAGGTAAGCAGAGATTGAGGAAGAGAAAGGAGACAAAGTAAGCATGGCTGGGGTAGGTATAGAGGCAGGGACACAGACTGCTAAAGACATCCAGCTTTACACCAAGCTCTGCCACTGCTTCCTGGGAAGCCTCAGGAAAATTAGTGTTCTTCCTGGTTTAAGGAGGAGTTATTCTTGTTCTTCTCAAAGATCTTTTTCATGACCAAGACATCCTTCCTGGATGGCTTTACACCACCCACCCCCAGCTCACTCATCTTGCTCTAGCCTCACTCTGACTCAAAAAAGAATTAAATCTTCCCCTGTTCATCTGCTTGCTTCCCTGTTCATTTAGCTTGAAATGTTTTCTCTTCCTGCCTCCATCTCAGGAAACTCTATCCTTCCTGTAAAGGTATTTATTAGCATGACACTTTGGTAAGTTAAGAATGCACGTGGTAATTTCTAGGGAGATCACTAAAATAATACTAATAGGAAAAGAGAATTTAACTTTCAAACTGGTATAGTGGGAAAAATGGGCCGGGCATAGTGGCTCATGCCTGTAATCCCAGCACTTTGGGAGGCTGAGGCAGGTGGGTCACCTGAGGTCTGGAGTTTGAGACCAGCCTGGCCAACATGATAAAACCTTATTTCTACTAAAAATGCAAAAATTAGCCAGGTGTGGTGGCACACACCTATAATCCCAGCTACTAGGAAGGCTGAGACACGAGAATCACTTGAATCTGGGAGGCGGAGGCTGCAGTGAGTCATGATCACGCCACTGTACTCCAGCCTGGGCGACAGAGTGAGACTTAAAAAAAAAAAAAGATGAATATAGCAGTAAATTCATTAAATGCATTAGACTAAATGCTATGGTTAAAAGCCAAAGTATTGGCTGGACACAGTGGCTCGGGCCCGTAATCCCAACACTTTGGGAGGCCAAGGCAGCTTGAGACCAGCCTGGCCAACATGGTGAAACTCCATCTCTACAAAAAATACAAAAATTAGCCGGGTGTGGTGGCAGAAGCCTGTAATCCTAGCTACTTGGGAGGCTGAGGAATGAGAATTGCTTGAACTCGGGAGGCGGAGGTTGCAGTGAGCCGAGATTGCGCCACTGCACTCCAGTCTGGGTGACAGAGTGAGACTCCACCTCAAAAAAAAACAAAACAAAATACAAAGTATTGCTCCCATGTCATAGACAAGGAATTGGGGCAGAGAAGAGTTAAATAACTTAGGCAAGACATAAAAAGTAGCAGATCTACAACTTAAGCTTAGCTCTGACTCCAACTTTGCTGCTTCTCTGGAAGGAAGTCTCATCCT